TGAGGGAGTTAACGCTATGTTGCAAGATCATTTTCGTTTAGACTTTAGAGAGAGAAAGTTGGGGTTTTTGCTTACCAGAGAAACTCAAGAAAATTTTGGAGAAGAGTGAAAGTTCAGTGAATGTGTAGTGTTTGGTGTGGATTGGGAGGGAACCTTGAAGAAAATCGCCAAATCCGATTAAAAGGTAAGGTTCTGAAAAATTGATCCAAGTATTGAAGATTCCCCAATTTTTTGTTTCCCCATCAGTGCATATTACAAATCTATTTGTTTTAGTAGACCTTGCGATTTCGATGGTTAATAGAGTAAAGTGACGGCGTTTAATCGGTAAGTAGGCTCAATGAGACTTTTGTTGATTTGTAGTATAAATTTCTCCCAAATTTCGCTTCAAAGAATTTCATGTCGTAGATCTCACCTTTTTTTAGGAGGGATTTCGGGATATGACTCTAATGGATGATTTGATGGAATGACGAGTTGCATGTGGATTGAGAGACGCCACACAGAGAATGGAAGGCTCTGTGATAAGTCTAAACACTCAAGCTTCAATGGAATCGCACCAAGGAAGGAAGAGCAAAGGCAGCCGGCGGCTAGGGTTCTTCAAGGAAGAAAGTTCTCTTTTTATTAATAAAAACGTAATGTGTTACAAGCTGAGAAGGAGGCTTATAATAGCTCTGCAGCTTAGGGCTTCTAAGGCCGAAAATACAAATAAGGAAAGTTTTAAAAAAAATCCTATTCTCTATGTTACAAACTGACTCGAAATGTAAAACAGAACTGACACTAAAACAAAGAGAAATAACCTGCAAAACAACCATAGAAACTGTGAATAATAATCAGAATGTAAACACTTACATTGGTTTTAAGTTGAGCTTGTAGCATGCTTGGAGATAGTAAACAAGGTTGCATCCATGTTTCCTTGCAAAATTGGTAAGAAGGCTGTTGTTGGAGACTTGAGTAGCACATAAGAAGATTCTTGCAATTCCTTGTTGCTCTCAGCTTCTTCCTGCCTTCTAATCGTTGTGGAGTTGTGTTCTTGAGCAGAAAAGAAACTTATCATGCTTGTTGGCTCGATTGGAGTCTCTTCCGTAATCTCCCTAGTGAGCAGCTTTCCTTTCAGTTCTTCATCAACTTTCCACAGATTGGTTGAACTCCTCTCTTAAGCTCTTGGTTCCTGACCTCGTTCTTGGTGTTTTTCTCATGTGTGGAATGGAGAGAACATTGCCTTCAGTTTCATGTGAGCTAGCTTCGATGTCCTCATCAGGATAGAAGCCACGGTTTCCGATGAGGATGTTTGCGACCGGCGAACAACCATTTGAGAAAATCTCTCTTTCGAGTTGACTCGATTAACACTGAGTCGACTCAATGAGTCAACTCGGTGAGTTGATTTTAGTGTACCAAAACCACAGTTAGTTGCGTAATATGAATATTATTCGATATGCGGGTGAAGGTATTAAGTATGGAGATCTAGCATTGCAAACCAACGGCAACGTCTAAATTTAGTTGTTAATATATTTTGTTATCCATCTAACTCTGGTATCTGAAATTGTATATGTATGATGTTAAAGATATCTAAGTAACCAGTAATGACTCAAATAATTGATATATTAACCATCCAAACATAATTGTAACATGACTAACATGTAGTATAAAACGTTGTACAAAGTGTAAGAAACAAGTATATTATCAATCTAACGAAACTACTTTATGCGCATTAAAATTTTAGTCGGCTAACATTTAAATTGAAGTTTAACTTTTAGTGGTCTAATTTATTAGCCGTATAACTAATTTATTGTCTTTCCCAATACTTTTTTGAAGAATAAACAATTTAGCCATCTTTATCATGAGATAAACGTCTAAATCACATGCCACATACTTAACAGATCATCGAGTATGGTAACATGGTGTTCATAGTCTAGAAAGCTACTTAATTATCGATATAATTCATTATTACATGACATGTAAAAGATTGGTTCTATAACAATCATTAAACATCTAACAATTTATATTACCGATAAATAAATTATTATCCGCTATTATATAAGTTAGCATAATAACTATGAATTTAGATGACTAATTTTAAATTTAAAAATACAACATAAATGCATATCATTGTACTCTATATACATCTCCTCCTTCGCTGACTTGGAGAGCTGAGTCGACTCGGAAATGACTCAGTATTTATGAATAAAGAATCCCTAATAGATGAAAGAGAAACCGCCGCTTCTTCTGTATATTTGCATTTGAGCCTAAACATTAATGTCTTCCTCTTTTTTGTAGTTTTGCCTTGTTTCTTTAGCAACACCAACTCCACCTTCAATGAAAACATTTCGTCGGATTTTTTACGGATTTTTTGCCTTGTTTCACCGACTTTTCGTCTGTTCTTGGTCACTAGATCTATAGAAAAAT